TCATTTGCGATGGCCAGGGCCGCTTTTCACAAAGAGCTACACAGCTCAGTGGGGCCTTACACCTGTTAAAGTGGAGTTTAGAGTCATTTTCCTGCTGCTGTAAATGAACTCCACTGCGGGACCCCGGGGGTCCCGAATAAATCCGAAGTCAAAATCGTTATTAAGTAATTTATGTCTTAGCGACTCCGTCCCCACCCCGTCCATAAATGCCGCGCCCCGCCTGGCGCGGATCGTTCTGTTTGTCGTGTCGTCCAAGCGCAGCGAGGACGAATGCGCAAGAAGAAACACATTTTTTTTACTTTGATTAGCGCATCAGGTAGAGATCGTCGAGAAGAATAGGTTGCCGTAGTGATCTCCTTCAGCAGACATGATCGCAACGTAGTTTATGCAAATGTCCACACGGTGATGATGATGATGATATCAGCCGCTCGGGTTGGGCTGTAATTCGTGATCGCCAAGGTCGCTTCTGACAAAGAGTTCCACAGCAGCTCAGTAGTGGGGCCTTACACCTTGGTAAGATAAGAATAAAACACGTAGTTTAGTTTTATTTGTACTCTTAATTTGTTTTATAAGTCATTTGTTCACCTTTCCTCTACTTTGAACTCCTGTCGCTAGTTGTTTTTTTTGTCTTTTTAAATGTTAATTATAGTCATCATATTATTGTAACGTCCTGACTAACGCCCGTGTGTTCACGTCACTGGGGACCATTAGTGACAGAGAGCTTTGCAGCTCAGCGGATTTCTTCCTGCTGCAGTCTAAAGTATTCCGATTGATTCTCGACATCATTCGGAAAATGACAACATCAGCTTATATTGGTGTGTGTGGGTTGTCTCTCCCAGTCCCACGAATGATGTATCATTGATTGTCAAGAAGTCCTCGCATTGCAGTGAGCTCTGAGAATTGTTTAAAGAGACCTGGAACAGGATTTCCTGATCACTGATCGAGAGCAGAGATGGATTGATAATGGTGTCACAACCAACGAGCCAAAAATATAATTAATTGAAAGCGACGAAGGATCGATAATGTCATCATGATCAACGAGCAAATAATAGTGTTGATTGGGAGCAGAAAGGGATCGATAATGTCAGCACGACCAACGAGCCAATAATAGTGTAGTGACTGGATCGGAGACACTAAAAGTTGGAGGCACTCTGTTTATCAACACGCACCAACAGGTTAACACTTCCAATAAATCCGTCTATAGTCGACTACGGTTCCCAGTCAGGAAAGCAGGCAAATTGTCTGACTGGCGACGCTGAGATGATGAAGATGGGGACGTTTCCAGCAGCATTCCAAACGACAGCCCCGAGGTCCCTTCCCAGGGGCCCCTCTTATACTGTCAGCATGCCCTCGATACGCCCAGGCCACGCCCACTTTCTAGGACCTACCCGCGGGCTCCTGATGTGCCCCTTCCGTGACCTT